GGCGGTCCCACCTACCACTCATTCCTTGGGAAGCTCAGCTAAGCCTGGGGTAAGCTACAAAGATCCTAGCAAGGGTATCCTCATAGGTTACACATGTGTAGAGAGTGATCTCTATGATGGCACCACATGGTGAAGGCTAAATAATGATAATCTTGCAAGGTAGAAGAAACCCTGCAACACCCAGCCTGGTTGTCAACTCCATGCTTCCTTGGCAATCCAATAACATCCAAAGCAGTATTTACCAGGCTCTGCTGATGCTCTGCTCCCATGTTTGTTTCCCTAAGCAGACATGACTCCCCTCCCTCCTCCCATTCTTCAGTTCCAGAAGATCACACAGCATCTCCTTCTGAGGTGAATTCATAGAGGCTCAAGACTTCTGCCAGGAGAAGACCTCCAAGGCTCAGCTGGGTCATTTTAAAGCTAAGCCCCATCCCCCGGGATTCCCCCACCCTGCCTTAGCACAGGGTGGGATGAGTGCTGGGTTTGGAGTCAAACCTTGGGGAAGCCCTTTCTGCTCTGAGTCTCTTTTCCCATGTAAAACAAGGGGGTTGAACAAGATGGTACTCAGGCGCCTTCTAACCTGAATAGTCTGTGACTGGCTGCGTATGGATAAAACAAAATAAATCCAGTTCACACGCAGCCACGATGGAAGGTTGAGCAGGCACTCCCTCCCCCTACCCCCTTGGAACTTAATCATGGGATGTCCTTTCTTCATGGGATCACGGCCCCACGTATTTATTTGTCCAAATCTCCTTGTTGTCGGCAGGTAAAAGTGACGCAGAGTTTCAGGGCTGTGGACAGCAGATGTTTTCCTTCAACAGGAAACCTGGAGGGGTGTTGTCTTTGACTGTGATTAAAGCTCCTGTTGCCTCAGGAGTTTTTAATGGAGACATACACACAGATGGGCAAGTTATTCTGACACTAAAAACCCCCATGACAGCTTCCTCCCTGCGTGGACATGTGAGATTAAAATGGTAAAAGGCCAAGCTTCCCTCTGTAACATCTCAGGCTTGCTCTGAGCAAAAGGTGTGCCCTGGGACTTCTGGGGGGAATGTCATGCAAACGGATTCATTGAAAAAAAAAAAAAAAAAAGGAACTGTAGTTGGGAGATCACATAGTAAATCCATTTGAAAAGAGAAAAATCATCATCTTGCTAATGTTGGTCACTTTATAACTTTGAAAATTTTGTGTCCTGAGTTTCCTCAAATGGGTCTGGAGGGGGGCCCACCATTCCCTGGAGGGGAGGATGGTGTAAACAGTATTGCTATCTTCTGACTTGATTCTGAATGTCCGTGGGATCCTGCCTGTGTGAAACACCCATTCTCGGCCCCCATTTCCCAGTCTATAATGCAAACACCAGACCCCTTGGAGCAGTGCACCATGTTGGGCAAGGCAGCTGTGGAGCCAGAGAGCTGGGTTCCAATCCCAGCTCTGACACTTAGAGCTGTGGGACCTGAGGTAAGTAGTTGACATGTTTCAGTCTCAGTTTCCTTATCTGAAAATGGGGAGAATAATATATTGGGGAAGAACGGCTTCCTCTCACCCCCGGGGCACATACAGAGGGCAGATCAGGGCATGTTCCCTCCTCCCAGATGGGGGTACTCTGGTCCCTCCCTGACATAAGATGCAGACCTAGGGGAGGTTCTCTCCCCTCCACATCCAGGAGGGAGAGGTGATTCTAGAGGCCTAAAGCACCAGAAGAAGTAGACGCTTTGAGTAGATGTGACACACGACTCATTAAAGTGACCAATTAGGTGACAGTGTTGAAACACTGACAAGTAGAATATTCTATTCAGGCTGACCCGCATTTATCTCCTTCAGGCTCAGCAGGGTGCCTGACACCCACTAAACACTCAATAAACTTTTATTAACTAGGCAAAGTGTTCACAAAAGAATCTTAATTGAAGAAATTAGAACAAAATTACATTATGATTACACCTAGGTAACAACTACCTTTATGTATAGGCATAGAAAAATATTGAGAAGAAACACAAATGCAGCATTGTGGGAGAAATACCATTTCCTTTTTCTTTAAAATTTTGAATAATGTTCTAAATTTATTTTAGCAATAAAAATTCTGAAAATCAAGAAAAAAATCTTTACTTATAAAGCAACAGAAACTAGGCACAAGTATAACATGGGGAGAGGAGCACAAACTTGGATTTGGCTCCTAGCCCTGCCTCTTCTAGCAGATCTTCTTGGGTAAATAAAACTCTCTGGGCCTCAGTTTCCTATGCTGTAAAAAACAGGGTAATGACAGATGCTCCACTCACAGGGTTATTGCAAGGCTTAAACTGAGTGGTCCATAAAAAGGGCCTGATCCACAATTACTGCTACCTTCCAGTCATTTTTTTCTGGTGGGTTTGTTACAAGTTAGAGCCAGCTCTAAACTTCAGCGTATCATTGCTGTGTGCTGGACCTTCAATGACAAAGGATCCCAATGCATCAGCACAGCCAGCACCCTTCCAGTGGATGCAGTGGCCTCAGAATCAGACTCAATCTGTTCTAATTCTTGCCTAAAGCCAGCTTTTAGAAGGAATGAAGGTCTCAATTAAATCCAGTTGGAACACAGCAGGAGGTGTTCGAGAGGAAGAATAAAACAAAGTTTGCTGCACTCATCCACGTCTGCAAAGAAGCATTCTGTGAGGCCAAAAGACAATTTCAGCAAAACTTAGATATCTGGCTGGGGGAAGGGCATCACTGTGCAGAGCAAAACTTGAAGACTGGTTTTGATGAGCAGCTGTAAAGCATGTATCCTGATCCAACCTCCTGTCTCCTGAGCTGGTGAGGAGACACATGGAGACCAGGCAGTTTTAGAGGTTGAAGGATGCTTAGTAACTTTCTGGTCTAGTCTCTCAATAAACTGAAAGGGAATTAAGTCTAAGGAGGTGCAGTGACTTATCTGGCTCATCATGGTACTGGAACCAAGGTCCCTGGCTCGTCATGGTACTGGAACCAAGGTCCCAAACCAATAGTTTTCCCACTTTCTTGCCCTCCCTCATCTCATTCCTACCCCCAGGATTTCCCAGCAAGGTCTGCCCACCATTCCATCATTTGATCGTACCTGCAGATGAAGCCTGAATAAGCATCATTCCTTACTAGGATCTAAAGTGCTTGCTTTTGTTTGAAATGGGGATGCCTGGGCTGGGCATGGTGGCTCATGTCTGCAATCCCAGCATTTTGGGAGGCCGAGGCCAGTGGATCACTTGAGGTCAGGAGTTTGAGACCAGCCTGGCCAACATGGTGAAACCCCATCTCTACTAAAAATACAAAAATTAGCTGAGCCTGGTGGCGCATGCCTGTAATCCCTGCTACTCAGGAGGCTGAGACAGGAGAATTGCTTGAACCAGGAAAGCAGAGGTTACAGCGAGCCAAGATCACACCACTGCATTCTAGCCTGGGCAACACAGAGAGAGTCCGTCTCAAAAAAAAAAAAAAAAGAAAAGAAAAGAAATGGGGATGCACTGTGTTTAGGGAAGAGGAAGGCAATGTAAAGAGTCTTGGCAAATTTTCTTAAGAGAGATCACTGCAGAATGCAAATAAGAATAACTTTTTGACAATGTGAATCAAGAATTTAAAAAATGACCATTCCTTTTGCTTCAATACTTACATTTCTAGAAATTTATCCTAAGGAAATACTCAAAGATAGTAACAAAGACTCATCTGCCAAAATGGGTTTCAGAGCACAATTTATATTTTAAAAAGACTAGAAACAACCTAAGTGCCCAACTGTGGGGGTTTTCTTATGTAAATTATGATACACCAGGTAGCTATTAAACAGACACTATGGAAGAATGGTTAATGACCTGAAAGAAAACTCATGACAGATAATTAAATTTGAAAAAGAAATATAAAATACTGTATATATAATAAGAACACAACTTTTGTTTTATAAGTTCATGGGAAAAAAAAAGGCTGGGAGAAAATATACCAATATGTAAACAACGATTAGCACTTGTTGTGTGGCTGATACCTTATTTTTAACACTTCTCTGAATTGTCTCTATTTATTTATTTATTTATTTAAGACAGAGTCTTGCTCTGTCACCCAGGCTGGAGTGCAGTGGTGTGATCTCAGCTCACTGCAAGCTCTGCCTCCCAGGTTCTCCTGGGATTCTCCTGTCTCAGCCTCCCCAGTAGCTGGGATTACAGGTGTGTGCCACCACACCCAGCTAATTTTTGTATTTTTAGTAGAGATGGGATTTCACCATGTTGGTCAGGCTGGTCTCAAACTCCTGGCCTCAGGTGATCCCACCCCGATCAGCCTCCCAAAGTGCTGGGAATACAGGCGTGAGTGACTGTGCCTGGCCTCAATTTTGAAAAGATGAACATGCACTGATCTCAAAGATAAATATCATTAAGAGGGAATCCTTGGATATTTTTTCATGTTTTCTGACACAGAGACAGAGCTGCGAATCACAGACGTGCCCATGGTGGTTCCCAGAGCAGAGAAACTCTTGGCTGGGGCCTGAACTCCTTAAACCACAAACTGCTAGGAATCGTGCAGATGGATCTCACCTACAGCTTGACTCGGTTTCTCTCAGTGGGTTTGCAGGACACTAATCTGTCTGAGTCAGACATTTTGGCCCCTGGTACTTTGAATTCTAATCCTTCCACTGGGGCAGACTGCCTTGAGAATGGTAAAAAACACAGCCCAGGGGTCACTCCTACCTCAAGGGAAATGGAAACTGCATGGAGTAATGGGGGTCAAAGAGGAAGGAAGCCGAGGCAGGGGTCATTGTGGGTATAGAGGGCCTCATAGAGGTAGAGGATCAAGGGGACCCAGGAGTGGGAGAGGGAACAGAATGGAGCTATGGGTGGGCAACCAGGGAAGAAGGTCCTCTACTCCACAACTGTGTAGGAGGAGTGCCCTGGTCAAGGGGATGCCAAGAAAGAAATGGCCCATTGCTGTGTAGATATAACCACCCACAAACATGCTCCTCACCCTGTCCCAGTTGCCACCTTCTGGCCCCAGAGCTCCTGGCCTGGGCAGTGTGTTACCTCATTGTTGGTGCCGACATCCAGTAGCACAGGGAGGCACTGCTGTGGGTTCACTCCTCCGCACGCTGTGTACAGGGCCAGCTTGCCCACAGGGATGCCCATGCCGTAGCAGCCCAGGTCTCCCAGGCCCAGGATGCGCTCCCCATCAGTCACCACCACGGCCTGAAAAACAGCAGGGCACCATCAATCAGGGACAGCACTTCCCGTGACAGAGTGCTCATTTTAGCAGCCCCGGCCCATCAGGCTTGGCGACTGGATGCCCACCGACTTTGCCGGTGTGGAAGAGTTTGTCTGGGATAAGGCCAGAGCATTTATTCACCTGCGGGTGGCCGGTCCTTCCTGGCAGGCTGGTGAGAAACCCTACTGAAAGGAGATGACAGAGAGATGCCTGCCTTGCATTCTGAGCTTCAGGTGGGGGCTGCAGAAACAGCTAGAGGGAAACCACATCAAGTCACTTCACTCTTCCTCAAGGAAACTAAACAGACACTCTCAGCCTGAGACTTGGGGTGGTGGGGAGGGAAGGGCATAATTAAAGGAGAAAATGAAAAATAAGTGTTCATGCTGCTGCTACAGCTCCAGGATTTAGAGACTAATCTAAATGCTCTCCGACCTACTCCTGGATTATGAAAAATCCGACTTGCAAAGAACAGGACTCCTTGTGACATCTTCTAGGATCATTATTGCACATGAAATCAGGAAGAGTTTCAAGCTGCGCTGGGATTTACCTTTTGCATTTGGCAAAGAATTGCTGATGTACTAGATGTCGTGCTACTTCAAGGCTTACCTACTGTGAATTAATAGATGTGAATGAAGCTGATGGTGATGAGAGGAATAATTGTATTATTATAATGGTTATTCTTTTATTCATGTAATGCATATTTATGAAGCACATACTTTGCATAAGACACTGACAAATTCTGGGGGAGCTTCAGTTTGCACATCTACAAAAACAAATATGCACGGACCCAGTCCTTAAAGGATTAATGGGCCAAAGGAGAGATGGAATGTGTATATTAATAATCATGATTCTGGGAGGGAAGCCGGACAGCAGCAGAATAGCATACAGGGTGGCAGAGATTAGAAGATGGGAAGGTAACCCTTCATGGGTGAAGGGACCCACATGCCCTACGTTGGACAGGTGGAGATTGTGGGGCATGGGTCGGGAGAAGGGCATTTGATACAAAAGAAAGTTAAAATCCAGGGTGGAGGTGCTGGGGGTGGGGAGAATGTAGGGTGTGTTTGGGGAACGAGGAGGTGTAGGTTGCAGGAAGGGAAAGAATGGAAAGTCAGGCAGGAGTCAGACTGAAAGGCCTTGAATGTCTGGCCAAGGAGAGCCCCTCAGGGTAACGGTGAAGTTGTTTGTAGGCCACTCTCACCTGCTCACCAGCGCCAGCTCTCTCTATCTCTAAAACAGTTAAGTTTATAGGTCCCTCATCCCTTCATTGGAACCTGGCTTTGAATCTACTCTAGGCTACAGGTGTCCTGATGGGCTATGGGCACCATAGGGTTTGGTTAAATCCATGAAGGTACATTGCTGGGCATTGGGGGTAAAGAGATGAAGATCCATTCTTTCCCTGGAAGAGTTTATGATCTGGTACCCAAAGGGCTTATGGTTTCTTCTCACTTCTATTCTCTCTTTTAGTGGAAATGGGTGTAGACAGTTTTAAAAACACTCCTCTGCTTCTGGAAAGGGGTCTCTGGAGAGTGCAAGAGATCCATGAAAATCATGATATTCTCCCTTAGATTGCTCGACTGCCTCTTTGGAGAGTGCTCACAGACTGCATCTCATGTGACCCTCCCCATAACTTGAGCAGGTAGGTGGATCTGAGGCTGTTATCTCTGCTTCACAGGTGAGCAAACAGAAACCTTTATTTCCTCCATATATTTGTTAAGTGTCGGCCACATGCCAGGCACTGGCTGGATGTTTCCACATCAGTTATCTTAAAAGATTAGGTGACTTAGCAAGGTCATCTTGCTAGTGAATGTGACAGGGCAAGGTTCCTGGTTCAGGGCTCCTTCTACCACCCCAACTGGCTGGGGTAAAGTGCCTGTGATCTTGGCAAAGTCCTGCCCTGCTTTGGCGCCACCCTCTCTGCAACCTGCATCTGACCTCCTCTTGGTAGCTCTCCCTGTTGGAGACTATGCCCTCATGCTGCCCCTGGGTGTCCAAACTCGGGGCATTTCTCTATCGTCTCTCCTAATTAGAGCTTCCTTATTATGGTTCCCATTCTCTCAGAATCCTTCTCTGTGCTGAAGGGGCAGTGAGTGACATGAAGTTAAACGGAGGAAATCTGCTACTCCAGGCTGTTATCCCCACAACCCTAGGATGGGACAGGGCTCTGCAGTGGCACTCTCCCAGCCTGGACATGCCCCAGGGCATTCTACTGCATGCCCAGCTCCTCTGAATGAGTGTCTCACCTCCATCTACTGTCCACCCACAATCTTAGCACGGTTATAGTTGAGTTATTGCAACAGTTTCACAACGAGACTGCTTACCTCTCACCTTCCTTCCTTCCATTCTCTCCTGCTAACCAATGTCGGATTCATTGTGTCAAAAGCCCATTTTCATTATGCCATTCCCAGGCTCAAAGACCTTTAGTGACTTTGAACTGTCCGTAGAATAGAGTCCAAAATACTTAACTCTTTAATGACCTGAATCCAACTGACCTTCTGAAACTTATTTCCTGCTACACATCTGTACACAATTGCCTTCTCTGGCTGTGCTGGCCTTCTCATTCTTCCCAGACACACTCTGAATTTGCCTACCACCTCTCCATCTCAACCTGTCTATTCCTTTCTCCTGGAGGGTTGTTCTCCCCATTCTTCAGCAGCATAAATTCTGCTCATTATAATCTACTGAAATTTCTCCTTCCCCTGAATTGCCGTATCTACCACATACCCTTCCTGTCCATTTGCCTGCCTTTCGCAAGCATGTGTTAAGGACCCACTGCCTGCCAAGACCTGCACAAGGTGTTATTTAATCCTTTGATGGTGAAAGCAGCTGGGTTGTTATTAACTTTGTTTTAAAATGCACATTTTATCTCACCAAACAGCCTTAGTGGTTAATGGCAGGTGCTTTGGAATCTGATAACCAGTTTTTGAATCTAGGATCCTTGATGATGTGCCATGTGTAATTTTAGATAAATAGATAACTATTCTGAGCTTCAATTCTCCATAAAATGGGTATAATAATAATAATACTTAACTCCTCAGGTTGTTGTAATGATGAAATATAATAATATATGTCTCATTTTAACCTGGTGCCTTGTATAAAGTAAGAATGATGAATAAGGCCGGGCGCGGTGGCTCACGCCTGTAATCCCAGCACTTTGGAAGGCCGAGGCGGGCGGATCACAAGGTCAGGAGATCGAGACCATGGTGAAACCCCGTCTCTACTAAAAATAGAAAAAATTAGCCGGGCGCAGTGGCAGGCGCCTGTAGTCCCAGCTACTCGGGAGGCTGAGGCCGGAGAATGGCGTGAACCCGGGAGGCGGAGCTTGCAGTGAGCCGAGATTGCGCCACTGCACTCCAGCCTGGGTGACAGAGCGAGACTCCGTCTCAAAAAAAAAAAAAAAAAAAAAGAATGATGAATAAATGGTTGCTGCTCTTATGATTGTAATGATGATGATTATTTAGGGCAAAGATTATATCTCAGACTTTGAAATTATTTCTGATCTCTCCAGTTTAACATTAAACACAGAAAGACCATGCAATAATTATCTGTTAAATGAATGAATGAAAAAGAAACCAAGGGGAGACCATGGCAAATGCAACATTTAAGAAAGTCTGGCCATGTGAAACTTAACAGCTTTAACCTTGGCATCCTCATCCATTGCTATGGCTCCTACTGTCCTCTCTAAGTAGATGACACCTATAGATAACTGTCTGCTGGACATTGCCACTCAAATGTCCAGTATTCTTCCCAAATCCCACAATTCCCTAACCAAAGGAATCCTCTTTTCCCTCTTACTCCTTTTGATCCTTTTTACTCTGCTGTCCTCCTGCTCTGTTACCCTGTATCTTCCAAGTTCAAAAACGTCCAGTCTTCTTTGATTCTTCTCTGTTAGTCAACCACAGCCAATTGGTCACCAAGTTCTGCTGATTGTGCCTGCTCCCTATTTTAAACATCTGTTCCATTATCTTCATATTATTGCTACTGCCTCGGATCGGATCATCCATCTTCACTTGAGCCACTACAGTGTTCTCCTGACTCCAGTTCTCCTGACTGGTCTCTCTACTGGATTTTCCCCATTCCATTTCATTTTTTCCGAAGCACACCCAGATATATCACTTTTTTTTGCCCCCAGATCTCTAATGGTTCCCAATGTCTGTAAAACAAAGCCCAAACATCTTAGACTGGCACCTAAAGCCTTCCATGGGCTAGGCGCAAGCTGCCCTTTGAATTTCCCCTTTATTCTTTCCATGCTCCATCCAAACTGAAATATTTCCAATTTTGCACAAGGCTTGTACTTTCTTGGATACATGCTATTTTACTTCTCAATTTCTTTATCTCCTTGATACAAATCTTACCACCCTTGCATGTTTCAAGGAACAGTTCAAAAAGCATTTCCTTCCATGAAGCTTCCCTTCTGAATTTTATCACTTCCTTCTCTGAATTCCCACAGCATTTTCCTCACCTACAAAACCTATCATTCTCTTCCTTGTATTACAGTTGTACATTTCCTTGTGCTTCACGGTAGCTTGAAGCTCTTCTGGGGCCAGTAATGGGTTGTGTCATCTTTGATTCATCAGCACTTAACTTGGTGTCTGTAATGTGATAGGCACTCACACATGGCGGGCAATGTGATAGATCCAACAGAGAGAACAAAGTGTCTTCGGCACTGAACAGAGTTCAGACCTGCTGTGGATTAACAAGTTCAGAGAGAAGACACTGCACCTTGGTTTTCATAACATCAATGGACCTTATGCTGGGAGCCACTAGTTCTGTAAATTGTCAAAAGGCTGAGGGCAAACCTGGGCAGCATCCTTGAGCTTTAAAGCCAAGCAACCTTTTCTAGAACAACAGAATCCCATTTTCCTTGTTTGGAAGAGTTTTATAATTCATAACTCCCCTGTCTCTCTATGACTATGGGGAGGTTTGGGGAATGCTGTGCCATATTCTTCCTTTGCCCACCTGCCTCAGACCTAAGGCCTTTTCTGAA